ACCTGGAGACTGTTTCTTCAGGTGCATAGACTTTCTAGGCAGCTCCACATGGAGTCAGGCTTCTCTGTGATTTATCTGTTGGACAGTGGGTGGCCAAGGGGCACTCGTAGGCAAACAGTCATCCAGCCCGATAATTAGGGAGGGAAAAGGCAAACACAAACACACCCAGGTTGACATTCAAAACAAAGTGGATATTTAACCACGGATGGCTCATTATACTGCCATAGTTCTTGTCTGCCAGTGTGTGGGGAGGAAACCAGGAGCCAACAGCAGCACTGTTAGTGATTTATCAGTAGAGCTGACCGAAAAGGCACAGTCCTTGGGTAGAAACGGGAAGGCTAGAGCTTGTTGGCTAGCTTTGTTCTTAAATGATGGAGGGATCCCTCTTAGTCTTTAGTGGGCCTTGGGGTCCTCCCCTATGAAAAGAGGGGTTCAGACAAGGCCTTTTCTAATTACCCTCTATTTCTGAAAGGCCTTGACTAGACAGTCTTTTTCTTCCATTCATTCATTAATGCATATACTTAGGTATTTATTCAATTAACCATAAACTCAACTACAGACAAGGTATTGACAATCAATGACCAAAATAAAGCATGGACAGATCATCACCATGGAAGAAACAGCTCGAGGTGTTGACAGCCTCTCTCAATTCATACGAGGGCAGCGATAATAGAACTTCTATTTTCTAAGGCACACTCATATTGCTTTTCTCTCAAGGGGGAAAAAAATAGGATGGCTGCTGTTTGCCAGTCTCTTTCAAAGAAATCAAATGTAGTCAGCTCCTCTTTATAGGCTGCGTACTTGGCTTGGAATTTATCTGGTTTTATCCTTTCCTTCTCATCCCCACCTTTGTCCCTGCCCACTCCATCCCACCCTTTCTCCTTAGTGAGGTTTGGTCCCCTCCCATTATTTCAACTGGACTTGATTGAATTCAGACCTCATGCATGGGACCTTTTACATTTCAAGGAACCTAGATGTTGAAGGAAAGCAACTGAGAGAGACGGACATGGAGAATGAGAATAGACAAGACAAAAATGTGTTTGGGTGAAGAGGCAGTGGAGCTGGGTTAGTTTGTGTCTACAGAGCATTGGTTAAACCAGGGAGAAGCTCCACACCACCAACCACTCTGCATCTTCTCCAGGTGATCCGGAGGCTGAATTATCCTTGCCATCTTTTATATGTAAATATAAATAAACTTGATTTATATTTGATTTAATCTGAAAGTTACTGACAGCTTAATACTGTGATATTTTTAATCCAAAGAATCAATGTAATGATCAAAGAGCTTTGATCACAAGTGAGATCAGCCTGTGCCAAGTGATGTTTCATTTAGCCAGTTTTTAACCTCTCAGAGCCTCAGCAGTCTCAGCTATAAAGTGGGGACGATGCTTTTTCATGGTGCTATCGAGGACAAAATTAGGTCACAGCCCAAAATACCTTCTTCCTCATATCAATACTCTCTAGCCTTTACTAACCCCTTCCAAACTGAAGCTATGATGTGGATAGGCCTCCAAAGCCCCCAGAGAACAGCCATTTATATGCCATCACTTCTTCTAATCAGTTTCTAGAATAGTGGTCACCTCATTCTTAGTGAGACACGTATATGGATGAATCCCCTAACCCCTTACTGCTTATTTGGCTACTAAACTTATTATCAATTTCTTTAAAACAAATTTCTTTCAATTTCATTAAACAAAAGTGAGATAAAATTGGCTCAATTCCCCCCAAAAGAAATGAACACACATCTGCGTGACTCTGGATGCCGAGTTCCTTCAATCCAGAGCCTCCTGAACACTGCAGAGACTGGAAACCTGTCCCACTGTGATTCACACTTCCCCCACCCTCCGACTTCTCCTCCCTCCCCTTTCCCATTTCTCTCTGCTTATGCCCTTTCTTCCCTCCCTTTCCCCTTTGAATGTTAAAAATGTCCACTAGGTATCCAGTGTATTTCTTCCTAGCCGACCCCATTTCTACCTAAACACCCAGAACCCAAGAATCTGGAAAGAAGAACCGATTGGGGGTAGTCAGAAAGATGGAAGTCTCTCAGGGCTTTGAGTCTGCTCTGCCCCAAGGAAACCTAGTATGCGCAGATGCACTTGTATAATTGTGAAGCCATATGCCCACTGGCCTAATTCTGCAGAAAAGGAACAAGCCATAAAACTAAAACATAATCAGTCAGAATGATGATAACCGTCGATTGGACAGTTCATTGATACTAATGTACATTAGATCCAAAGATCGGCACGTGTGCTTCCTGATTTAGGATGCCCCAGATTGACACACTTGAGAGGTTGTTAAGAATACCCATTTTGCTCTCTCCTGCAACAGAAATAATTGAGGTTCTGCAAGGAAAACAGATGCATTCCGATGGGAAAGCCCTTAGTCAGATGGCCTCTAACAAAGTTGTGCTTTGAAAGCGAACCTGTCTTAAGCTTTTGTCCACCTCCCAGACCTCCACGTTTCACCAGAGATTTGGGGTGATGTCTTTTGTCTGGGGCAATAGGGAGTTTGCAATGAACCCTCTGACACTGTCCCCAGGAGAGAAAGCCTGCGGTGGCACTGTGTGGGCAACACCTCCCTTTAGCTCTCTGGTTACTTGTGTGCTCTGAGAACACACCCTGCCGAGTGCATTCATCACAATAGCCCATGTGTGACCTAAGGAAAAGTCCTTGAAAACAGTGAAACAAGACTCTCAGTTGAAATCTGGAATCCATTCCAGTCTTACACAGGAAGAAAATTAGGCATAGAAAAACAAAGCCCATCGTTCAGAGAAACCTGGAGAGGCTCTGGCTGACATTAAAATCGAGGAAGATTTTTTTTTTCCCCCTCACTACTTTGGATTTCATAAAACATTTTCATCTGATCAGCCCCAAAGCTGCTAGAAAATACCATGTGGTTAGCTGATGGCAATGACCGGTTTCTCCAGTGAATAAAACAGGCAGAATAATATCAGAAATGCTGAATGACATTTTATAATTCACTTACTTGACTCTTTTGCGCATAACTAAGTAAATGCTATTCTTCTAAACATAAGGGGGCAATACTACCATTTCCCCCTTTGGATTAATGTATTGGCAATAATAGGGGTAGTAGGGGTGGGAGTTGGAGGCAGAAAGAATAGCTGTGCTCCCTGGGCCCCATATCCATGGTCGAGTTCATTAGCCCCGACCTCATGGGCCTGGAAATATTTGTTCACTTAGAACATGAATCAGCAGAGTGGTGTGCTTGCTCAGTGAATCCAACTCAGCAAAGGTTTGTGGACTAACACTATTTTTATAAGTACAGACCAATTCTCTTTTGTTTCCAGCAACATTATTCACCATTAATTTGCCCTATTATATGATTTCTTGCAAGCATGTAAATGATTCTTAATCTGTACTATTTTGGGGGGCATATTCCTTCTTTGCTAACAATTGGAGAGGCAGGGTGATAGTCAAGTGGTGGTATAAAATCCAGTGAAAAATCAATTAGCAGAGAAATCTGTTTGGAATTGGAACTTAGAATCCATCTAAAGTTTGTCTAGAAAATCCCTCAAAAGGAAGACAGACCCTGAAGGAATAAGAAGATTCCAGAACCATCCAGATGGGGGCATACTGTCTCAGACCCAGAACCACAACACTATTCATTTGCAAATGAAGAAATTAATTTTGTTTTTTTCTTAAGTACCTTCACAGTTCATTTTTTATTTTCCTTTAAAAAAAAAAAAAGAAGGTAAATGGCATTACTTTGGTCTCCAAAACAGATGCCAGTTTGAACTTTATTCCGCCAGCAAGTATTTGGTTTGGCTCTGAAAGGGTTTGAGTTGAAAAAATATTTGCCGAATCCAAAAAGATTTAACGAGCTTTGCTGCAAGGCTGGTGCCATTTGGCACGTCACGGGGGCTGTGGCACAGTAAAGAGAGGTCTCTTGACCACAGATTTTATTTGCCCAAAGTAGCCAACACTGGGAGTTCAGTTGATTTCTCGGGTCAAGAAACTGCACATCAGATGAGTGAAGTTTCTAAGCGAAAGTGACCAAAATGGGCTTCAAAAAAAACTTGCTGACATTGAAAAGGAAGTCCCTGGGGCTGGCTCCACCCCGTGTGGGAGGTGATGGCTAGCTTTCAGAGCTGTCCATAACCTCCTCACACCAACCAACACGCACAGTCTCCAGTGCAGTCAGCAGACCAGATAAACCTCAAAGTTCTAGCAAATGCCTTCCTTATACAATATCAGACACTAAAAAATCTGCTGGGCTGTATTTTACAGTCACTTGATACTTGACTAATTTTGGTGTTAGAATTTAACTAAGCAAACACTGAATGACTTATTTTAAATAACTTCTCTAAATAGTACCAGCAAGTTTACTTTGTATTGCAGAGAGAGAGGGGCATGGCTTTATCAATCTTTAGTGGAATATAGATGCATAAATCTATCACTGAGATTGGAAAGAATGACCTCAGCGCACACAAATATCACGTTAAAAGTCACTGAACCTTGTCACCTGAAGTCACGCTTTTTAGTACAGGTTGCAAGGAAATGAAGCCTCTCATCCTTTCAAATCAATACCACATCTGACAACTATAACAAAAAAACCACAAAGCATTTCCATAACAGTGTGTACTTATGAATTAAAGGTCTGTGTTAATGACATTTGGACCAAAAAAGTTCACTGAAGCTGTAATTACCTTGAAGAAGGACTTAGAACTTTGGATTATTTCACATAATGAGTAAATCCCACCCCAGCTTCTATGGATCTCCCCAAACCTCAATTGTCCCTTTCATTAACACCAGCGCCAATGTAACACTTGGGACATGCTTATCTGATGCCAAGGGTCTGTAACAAATATCTTCAAAGGGAGCCAATCTCTAAACTCTGCCTTTCCAGAGAAAGAGCAATATGGGGGGCGGTGGAGGGGAAAGGAAGCCTTCTACCTGGCTTAACTAACATTTGGGTGTCAGAGTAAAAATCAGAAGAAAAATTCATGAAGTAATAAAAGGATGATTATAGCAGTTATTTACCATTTTGGCTTCTGAATGCATTGGCTGGACTTGGGGAGAAGCACAGGGGTTACTGAGATTTGGACCTTGCATCCCCATGATGCTGGAGTTCACTGACATTTGTCTCTCCATCTAAGAGAAAGGAAAGCAACAGAATTAGAAGTCTGAGAAAGACAGTCAAGGCATAGACTAAGATGCCACTTCCCTTTCAAGCAGATCCTTTAGCATTTCTTTGAAGAAGCCCCAGAAACCCACAGGCTTGGTACATGGTGAGCAATGCACTCCTGAGCCTTGAGCTGAACTAAGGACATCAAGGAATCACTCAAAGCTGTGCCACCTAGGAAGATTCCCCATGCAAAGAGAACTGTGATGTCATGAAAGATGATTTCCAAACAAAATCACTGAATATTTCCACTTTTGCACCCATTCCAAGTACCACTAATTATGCTAATTTTTATGGCTGTAAGAAATAATATATGCATAGAAAAATGCTAAAAGGATATATAATATACCAAGTGGTATCTCAGGATATCTTTGATATATTCCCCTATAAATTTTATATAGTAAACATGAATCTTTGGGGGAATAAGGAAAAATAAACAATCTTAAAAGCCACATTTCCCAATGCACTGGGTCTTCCTGTTGCTCCATTTCATAAATACAGTTGAAATAAGGCAGCAGGAGTGTTTAAGCCACTGCCTGGGTGTATCTTTTCCTTCTTAACTTGGTCAATGCCTCACTGAAGAACTGAGCCTTAGGTAGCTTCAGGGTTTGGATTACATATGAATGACTGCTCCCGCAGTATCCTCCTCTGGCCTTCTGTCCCTTCAGAATCAACATCATCCAAATACCTGAGCTGGGTTATGTTATTTTTGTCTTCAGGGTATGCCTATTAAGAAGTAAATGCAAGGTAAGTGTCCCTTATCCAATGTGCCTGGGACCAGAAGTGTTTCAGATTTAGGATATTTTCAGATTTTTCAAATATTTGCATATGATAATGAGATATGCTGGGATAGGACCCAAGTCCAAACATGAAACTCATTTATGTTTCATATACCCCATATATGCATAGGCTGAAGGTAATTGTATATAGTATGTTGAACACTCCCACATTTGACTACCACCATCACATGGGGGCAGATGTGGGATTTTTCAATGGTGGCATCATGTTGGCACAACCAAGTTTTAGGTTTTGAATTTTCAGATCAGGGATTGCTCAACTTCTACAGCAAAATTTTTATTTGAGTCAAGGAAGAACTGATTAATAATATTTTCTGTTTGGTAGAAAATGAACACTTCACAGAATAAGCTAAAGCAAGTACATTTATTATTAATACCACCCAGAAAATAACTAGACTTTCTTTAGAGGGAAAACCAATTCTTCAATATAATTACCAAAGGGTGAACATAAAAACAATAGCTGAAAATTTGGGGAGCCAGGTATTCACTCTAAGTTAACCTGGGAAGTGTTGGAAAATATGGGTGTTTCTAATCAGTGGAGGTTCAAAGGATGGAGCATGGAAATCCCACCAATTAGAGGGAAGCTTGAGTGTGATCACTGAACTAAATGACCGTGCTTAGTCAAGGGGTCTTCTCTTGCCGAGATTCTGCCACTGTGATTCCTTTTGTGTCTACTCCAGGGGTTGGGTACAATTATGACATTAGTCTTTGAATTAGTAAAAGTGTTAGCGAAAAGCTCTCTCCTGACAGGTGGGTGCTTAGCCTGATTTTAGCCAATAAGCTGATCAGTTATCCTGCAAGGTGTGGATACAGGAAACTTTCAAGAGGAGCTAGTAAAAGCAAATTTTCCATGTATTCCCGAGTATTTCAGTAAAACTTTTTGAGCCTTATCAATTCAGTAAAAATAAAACATTCACTCCATGTATCTCCTAAATCTCTGGGCAGCCTAAAAGTCTAATCTTTCAATCACTTTTTAAAAAATTGTAAAATACATTTAACATAAAATGTACCATTTTAACCAGTGGTAAGTGCCATGAAGTTCATCAAGTTCAGTGCCATTAGATACATTCATGTACTCTAGTGGGTAAGTCATAAAGAAGTCAAGAGTTTAATTGCCTCCCAAAATGTATTGCTACATTAATACAAATTTGTATTACTACAAATCCTATCAGTATGTATAACCATAATGCACCAATAAAACAAGTGGGAAAAATACATACTACTTATAATCCTCACTCTCAGAGGCTGGAAATGGGAGAGTCAGAATAGCATTTGACCCCTTCTTCCTCTTTGAGAGGGAAACCCAAGTCCAAATGAGCTTTTTCTCTTCAATTTTCCAAAGAAGGATCTTTTATAAGATGTTTGTCCAGTGTCTTCTAAACTACCAGCTGTACCAAGAGCGGAGAGCAGTCTGCTTGTGGCTTCTGAATCCAGAGTCAGCAAGCCTTCCATTTTTGGGAAAAGTTTTCATCTATGACTATTTCTACTCCATGACTCATCATATACTGGTTTCAAACTGGCTTCATTTTTCTATCTATTAAAAAATATTGCATTTTCCATCTTACTGACGATTGTCACATAGACATACAGCGTGGGCAAAGCGCCTCCTCGAAGTAAGGACAAGGCCCCATCTGCACTGTGAGCTCAACTTTAAAAAGTTGCCTGGAATTAAGAGGCCAGGAGATGGAACAAGTTTGTTCAATAATGGGTAATATTCAGCACTGCTGGTAAACATCCAGGCAGGGACTCAGGGGTGCTGCTCAGTGGCATAGTGCTTGCTTCGCATGTGCAAGGCCCTGGGTTCAATCCCCAGCACCACAATAACTCCCAAATAAAGAATTTTCCCCTCTTCACACACTGGAAAATAAAAGCTAGACTGTATATATGTCACTGAGCTTTTGTAATAGTAAATGTAAAGTTCATGTTCCCAAATTATTAATGCATTTGACTTTCAAGACAAGAAATTACACCCTCTGAAATCCTTGAAGGCAAAACCTGCCCTGGTCTTCTTAATCTCCATCATCTAGCACTGTGCTTGCATACAAAAGGTGCTTAACAGAAGTTTGTGGAATGAATAAATGATGACATCATTTTCCTTCTGACCTATGTTTCGTGAAATGTGCATCCTGGCAGCAGGCATTACAAATCAGGTATGAATCTCACCTTCACCTAAAGACACAGTCTGCAGATTTAAGCCCAGGGAATTGTGGTTTCCCAGAGCGTGATCTTTGGGAAAAGATCCAAGTTATAGCAGAGGAGCTGGTGACAGGACACTAAGGAAGAAAAGTCTGGATTTCTAGGGCCTGGAACTCTTAGGATCTACTTCTGAAAGGCATTGCATTATTTTCCATTAGTAACATTTGCTTCACTCAAGACCAGGGCTTCTCAAGCTCAACACTGACATTTTGGATCAAGGAACTCTTTGTTGTGGGCAGTATCCTGTGTATTATAGGATGCTTAGCAGCATCTGTGGTGTCTACCCACTATATCAGCTTCCCCATGCCAGTCCAGTGCCGACAACTAACAGCATATCCGGTTTTTGCCAAATACCCCCTGGGGGACAGAACCACCCCCAGCCGAGAATCACTGCTCTTGGCTGACACCTACTGTCATGGCAGTTCTACACATCATGCACAAGGGTTTGAGAACTCCCGAGGGAGTGGCCTCCCTGCCTTTTAGTCCATACTGGCTCTTGACCATGAACCTGAATCTTTGCTTCTATCCTAAAGTATGAACAAGAGGTCAGGCTGTATGATGGGATAATGTGGAAACTGGTGCCAGGTATCTTTTCTCAGAGCCCTTTCAGCCCAAGTGTCCTAACTTTATCCCTAGGAATGGTCCACAGCTTAGCCAAACTGAGGTGGGGGAAAGTTGTCTGTAGTAGTATTTTTCTGAATACGGCATAGAGAATACTAATTTTGGACAAGAGGAAGTCAGAACCTAAAGGAAGACAACGTGTGATGGAAACTTCGGTACAATTGGTTTAGTTGAATAAAATCTGGGCTAACTGCACTGAGGTGCTGTTCTCCACCATCTAAAAAAAGTCTAAGGAGAGCATTGCAGGTGAAGTCAATTGGCATCACCTGTCCACCCTCTAGCTCAAGGTTACAGTGGCTGTTTCTAGCCTGGACAACCAGGCATCTGTAGTGGGCAGGCCAATAGCTCTCAACTGAATCCACAAGCCCTTCTGTATCCCCCAGCACCCTCCTACAGAAAGGAGCACACACAGTCCTTCACCAGGGCCGGTCTGACCTCTCAGGTGAGCTGAGATACGCATTCCATTTACTACACTCCTAAACCACGTGATACTGGACAACTCTCTTCAAAACTTCTTACTCGGCTTATCATCTATGAGGCAATTATATCAGTAATTATAGATACCATATCCCCACAAGATTGCTGTGAGGATAAAATTATCTAAAAACATGGAGAATAACTTCAAATACTTTGCAAAATACTGCTAATCAGTTGTGGGAGGGTTTGGGTTGAATGTAGGGCTTTAGAGAACTCCTGCAGCCCTGTAAATAACACCACCAGTTATTTTCACCAACACACAATCTAGGGAAGAAAGAAGGAAAGGGAGGAGGTGGAAGGACAGAAAAACTGCTTTGTATTAGTCCGAATCATTCTGGTATGATTATCTATTACTTTCAGAAGGGATCATATGATGATTATGAGTAGAGACTCAAGAGTCAGACTACCTGAATCCCGATTCTATCACCTATCAGCTGTGTGACGTCAGCCAAGAAACTCAGTCTCTCTGCCTCTGTTTCCTCATGTGTAAGATCAGTATAATAACAGTACCTACCTCATGGGATTGCTGTGAAAGTGAAGGGAGGAAATGTACATATCATTTAGTAGGTGAAAGAATGGGCTTTGGAGACAGAATTTCTGGGTTCAAGACTCCACAGCTCTGCTTTTCAGCTGAGCAAGTGACTTGCCTGACTTTGCTCCTTCAGAAGATGGGGACAGTAAAAGACTCATCTCAGAACGTTGTTCCTTGTGTTAACAAAGTACTTGGAAAGTGACCAACATATGGTAAGTACTCAATAAATGCTGCTAGCATGATTTATAGAACATGATATGGATAAACACATATTAGCAGCTATTATGTATGATCATTATTATCGTTATTACTATAATTATAACTCTCAGTTCTGGCTAGACCACTCACTGGCAATTTAAAGCCACTGTATACTACTCAAGTTGGGGACTCCCCAGTGCAGTCATCCATCAATATCTGCAGAGAACTGGTTCCAGAACACCCCTTCCCTTTTGAAACTAAAATCTGCAGACACTCAAATCTTTTGTATCAGATGGCTTAGCATTTGCTCATAACCTATGAACACTCTCCTGTATAATTTAAACCATCTCTAGTTTTGAATCAGTTATCACCAGCAAGAAGATGAGAAACCCTGTTTCATAGCAAGGTGCTGAAGTCCAGGAAAGTCAGTAAGATGCCTGGGGATGGGCAACGGGGCCCCAAAGGCAAACTGGCACTTCAAAGCCCTGAACAAGTGCAATTTATGTTTAATTCCTGAAACAGGGTTGCAAGACTTTATTCAAGCTCAGCCCTCCCCTCTGAAGCAGCTGCTTTCTTGACAGACAGCTTAGAGGTCAGTTTTCCCTTTCCTCTTTTAAGAGTGGCAAGCCACAGGCTGGGGGATGTTGTGAGTAGAAAAGTAGTGATAGAGTGCATGCCTAGCAAGCATGAGGCCCTCAGTTCAACCCCTAGTACCATTAAAAAAAAAAAAAAGCTAAAAGAGTGGCAAGCCATAGTTGGAGTGAGGTGCTCCAAAGAGACACCCAGAAACTCTTACTGGCATCAAGACGGCAGAAGATCCAGGCATTGTAGGGTTGGGCAGGGTCCCAGGCATGGAGGCTGGCATGGGCTGTCTCTGTCTGTTGTGGAGATGTAGCAGAGAAGATAGAGAGCCTGGGACAGGCCTGAAACAAAGAAAACAAACAAACATTATTTCCAGTGCTCTGAGCCTGTCTCACCAGAGTCCAGGAGCAGTGGGGACACCACCCGTCCGACGTGCAGCCGATCAGACCCACTGATGGGACAGCCACATAATTGTGGATATTAGGGAAATAATAACAAATAAAATACAAGTCTGATTTCCTTTGCTGCTTCCTAGATAACACATCAAATTCTACTTCATTTCCTGATCCCTGTTATCTAACTGATGTTCAATAAAAACAAGCCAGTAAATCTCCCATAGCCCTTGCTTCTAAGGAAAGGGATTTTGTGGTGGAATCCTGGGTCTGAGCCTTTGAAGGGTCTCCGGGCTGGAGATCTGGCTCCATGTGTTCAACACACACTCTCCCACACCCCTGCCTGGAAGCTCACCTGGCTTTGCTCTGGATACACTTTCATTCTCTGAATTTGCTGGATAAACTCCATTTGTGAATTCCTGACAGAAATCGATTTTGACTTTTTCATAGTTCTCCACAATGAGTGGAAAGAAACAAAGTCAGGACACAGACCAAAGCAGCCCGCCCATGGGTCACAGCACTGTGGCCAGCCTTTCCCCGGTGAGCTCTCCATCACCAAGCTCTCATTTCCTAATAACTCGAGGTGTTAGGCTGTTTGACAGAAAACTGATTTGGGCCTGACCTGCAGAACTTGGGTAAGCATTCCTTTGGGGAGTACACAGTTTGAGCTGTTGTTTCAATTTGAAAAAAAAAAAACCCAGAAAACTTTAAGAGCCTTACATTGATTTAATGAGCCAGGGAATGTAGAGCTGAGGGAAAAAGGGAATTATTTGTGTTTATTAAAAAATGGCAAACAACTGACCTCCCCGGCTAAATTTTGAATCTCCTGATGGGTTTGCTCTGGGGAGCAATATAAATGTCAAGCCATTAAATTAAAGACTTAACAACAAACAAAACAAATAAACCAAAAGCTCTCGGGCCCTCTGAGTCTTCCATGTTAAACCACTGTATTCTGAATGTTGGGCTAGAAACGTGTACTTTCAGAATTAGTGCATGTTCTAAAGAAAAAAGAAGACCCCCTCATGCAAAGAACTGGGTAAGGCTACAGCCGTATGCTCCAGGCAGGCCCAGGCCTGGCCTCCATTAGGGGAAGCACAATCTCTGCTAGAGTTCCCTTGGAGTAGGGAAAGGAGGCCCTTCTTTGGCATCTCTGGGTGACTCACAGGGAAGTGGGAGACTGAGCTGGGGAAAGAGAATGCCAACACGTTCTTTCTTCACATTGCTGTTAAAATTCCAAAGATTAAGTTTTCCACTCTTTTTGCCCAAGAGCTCTTTTGGAAATGTAGCTAACCATCATGGTCACACACATCCTAGAAGGATTAGTCATAATTAGTCAAGATTTATACGCTCAGGAAGGTGAATATATGGAACTAGAAAAGAATAGAAAGCCCTTTCACAGAAGTTATGTTTATGTACACAAATCACAATCTGTTTTATTAGTAGGATGTATGTATGCGGACATACCTAGAAAGGCTGATGTAAGGAGGTGGGAACAATGAAATGAGCATTTTTTCAGAAATGCAAATGAGGTACTAAGGGTATTTCCTGATGTGTGCCCTTGGGGCATCTGGAGTACACACTGACAATAAGGTGTGTACTCCAGGTGAAGGTCCTCAAGCTTTTCTAGTTTGGGGGAACTGCTGGTTCCAATGCTCCAAAATACCACAGAAGGTTGTGACTTCACCAGGTTCGTAAAGTATATTTCATTCAGAGGTGAATAGCTCGAGTCAGATAGGTATGGAATGTGGCCCTGTCAACAAAGCTTGTTTTATTTTCTCCAGTCTGAATGTTTTGTTTGGGAATGCGATTAAAAAGAAAACTGTTGTATGTCACAGCATATAATGTTCAGTAATAGTTCCTCCAAACCCAGGATTAATTATCTGGACTCCCCAGTTTCATAATAAGCAAGATCCATTGAGGGGACCCCTCATCACCCATCTACCCATTCATTAGTATCTACCCAATCTGCAGAGATGGATATACATGCATCTACATATGCACACACACACACACACACATGCACGAACATGCACGCACACACATATACTGCCTGTGATCATATATCTGTCACTAGAGGAAAGCTTCAAGGGCCAACAGGAACAAACACACACTGTTATAGGAAAGACAATGAAAAACATTTCTTTGTATTACTTGGATTCACGATACCATGATCGTGAGCATCATTCACGTTCAGTTTCTAACCTGACATATTAAAAACAACTCTGGTCATCAGTTTTTATTGATGTGTTCTTTCTGAAAAAGAAATCAATTAAACAACTCAATAGTGATGTGAAAGGGAATGCAAAAGTAATTAAATTTAAAATGAGTTTTCATTTTACCCAAATGATGGAAACTATCATATGGAATAGTTGGGGAATGGTGTGTTTAATGTAATTCAATGCTCTGATTAGGTTAGTTATTTCCACGCAATGCACAGATCTACTAGATTTTAAAATATCAAGTATTTTCTCACTAATTAAGAAAGACTTTCAGGGTATTGGGCTCTCTTGGGATTATAATAACAGCTTCCAAATGGTACCAGTCAGACTGATTAGCAACATATACTTGGGTGGGAAAATGGTTTTTTGAGATCCCTATATGTTTGAATTCTGAATAATTCTGAGGTTCACACAGACTTTATAAATTATTTCCCAACTCCCACTTATCATACTGATAGAGTTTTCTAGGATTCTTGCTTAGGCTTTTACACCATAAAAACTGAAAAGAGTAAACTGCCTATCCATCCTTAAGTATATCAAGGAGCAGGGCTGAGGTATTGCTCAATGGTAGAGAATTGTCTAGCATGCACAAGTGTGTTTGATTCCCAGCACCAGTAAATAAAGAAATAAAATAAAATACAGGACCAGACTGAAGAATTTTCTATGTAACTAGGCCCATAGAAGCAAACATTTGTCTAGAATACTTGAATTGTTGAAGCAAGAGTGGTATTGGAATAATTGCATTAATTGTCTAACTCCCTTTATGTGTTCTAAAAAATGAATTATTGTTATTTAATATAGTATATGGGCAAAAAACTTTTTATATTGCTCTTGAACAACGTTTCATATTTTTCAAAGGATTATCACAGCCCTAATTTCACATGACTTGAAACAATGCCACGTGGTAGATAGGTAGCATTATTCCCACTTTACTTGGGAGCAAACTGAATCCAGGTACGTTCAAATTTGCCCAAGGTCACACAGGTCATGAAAAGGAGCAGGGCTTATACTCAGCTTGCAATACAGAGCTTCCCCCAGTACACCTTGCTAGCTCCCACAACTAAGTTATTATTGATTTTTTAATGCTAAAATAAACTCATGGTCTATTTCCTTTGATATTCATACTGCTCCCTGGACTTTGCATGAAGTAGTAAAACACTGGGGAAACTGCTAACATGCTAACACGAGAACTCTCTTATCCATGCGAAATTCTATTTTCTTCCTTCAACAAAAACAACAAAATAAAAACACAAGCAAACAAAGACCTCCCCAAACAACACATTAGATTCTGCAAGTAAGATGACAAAATAGCAATAAAGTTGTGAAAACAAAGACCCAACAGTCTTTCCTCCAGTGCAGGCTTGTTGCCATGAGCTAATAATTCCAGACTTTGAGCAAGCCGAGCCTCCTTTTTAATAACCATATGCCTCTAGGTAAAGTATTTCTACTAAAAATTATTGAGGCATGGAACAAGGTAAGATGTGTGAGCTCATGTTGGATTGTTCAATTACTAAACTGAGTCCTGCAGCATTAAGAGTTTTCCAACTTGACAGATTATTCCTCTTTATACACTTGTATAAACATACTGCTTACGGCTGAAATCTATGTAAGCTTTTCTTTCAATTAAAATGTCAAGGATGACAGACTGTGTTTTCACTGTCCTTAGTAGAATGATAGGTACCACAGCAAACGATTTCATGTCCTCATTTTTCCCCCCAAAAAAGGATGTTTTCCAGTCTGGGGGTGTCTGAAAATCCAGGACTGTGTCTCCAGTCTTCCTTGTCCCCCGGGGCAAGCCTCGCTCTCTCTAAGGAGCCAAGGGCCAGAGTGTGGGTTTGCAAGGCCTGAGAGGGTCTCTGTGGAGTGCTCTCTTTCTCCGATCTTTGAAAGCCCTAAAAGCCCTATGGTCCTGGATTGCCTATTCAACTGTCAGGACAGACCGATCAGCCAGCGATGTGCTCAGGCAAAGGAAGAGGACAGTGATGAAGAATATTATCTTGGAAAACTGGAACATCAGTGTTAGCATGGAAAGGCCATAGACATCAAAGAAACCTTAAGACGATAGAGAAATAATAATGTCAGGACTCGATGGGAAGCAAAATTTTAAAAACTTCAGAGCAAGCATATGGAAAGAAGGTCGGGGCAGGCAGTAGGAGATTCAGAGGTCATATTGGAAGAGACTTTTCTGAATTTTGGAGTTCTCCATTTCACCTGTCCAATGAATAGGCAGGCTGTAGGCGATCTCAAAGTCCTTTGGAGTTCTATTCCATTCTCAGGTTTGACATGAAAGCTAGAGGCTTTTAATTGAGTCAGACTCTAAGCTCCATTAAGACATTTATTCGCCCCTCACTGCTGCGTGCCCAGGGCTTAACTCAGCATCTGGAAGGTAGGCGGCAGTCAGTGTCTACGTTCAGTGATATTAAATATTAAATGACAAAATAGCAATAAAGAATCTAGTTCTTAATACCAGGACTACATCTGGAACATGACTAGACCCCAAACAGAGGGTGTTCCGAGAAAGGGCCTTACAGTCTATGGGGTCCACACTTATTTCTCTTGTAAATGTAATATCATTTCACACACAGACTAGAAAAAGGGTATTGATTGCTCACTCTGCTTGCATTTGCCTATGAAAAGAAATATGTGCTTCTTTTGTGTCTTCTTTTTTTAAAAAGTATTTTTAGTTATAGATGGACACAATTCCTTTTATTGTATTTTATTTTTAATGTG